CAGATAAGTGAAGAGTAAAATCTACAGCACTAAATACTGAAACACAAGATTTTAACCTTCACAACTCTCTACATGCTTCCTGGAACCCATCTGATGGATAAAGAAAACACAAGATTTTAACCTTCACAACTCTCCACATGCTTCCTGCAGCTCATCTGATGGATAAAGAACGCATTTTAAAACTTCCTTAAAAGGAAAATGAGGCAGTCTGGGACCCAAATTTAAAACCAGGCAATTAATTTTGGTTTACAGTTTGTAATGACAACAGTATAACATTACAAGGAAAAATTAGGCATCTGGTCACACTAGTGTTGAACAAAACAATCTTGAAATCCATCATTAACATTATCGTTGACTTTCACTCCCAGAACGGAAATTTTTTAAACAGTTAAGCACAGTAAACATAGCATTAACCAGTAAAATTGTTTTAGCCCTGGCTATTTTTAAAACTTTAAAAAATGTTAAACTGTTGACAAGCCACGTCAAACTGTGACAGTTACCCAACGCTTTGACAAACACTGCCGTTGCCACCTTCAGGGTGAACATTGTCGTCATTTACTACCAAAAGCCTGCCCTATGAGGATTAAAAGATGCTCAACCAACACATATTCACCCTGACGATGGCAACTGCTAAATTTACCGAAATGTTGAAAGGTTCATCCCCGACAGCCATTAAAATTTTCCAGTTCCACACTTCCTCCAATGTATCAATCAGAGGCAACCTAAAAAATCTTTCCACACTACACATACCATTCTGAATCTTCAAACGTATTCAAGACAAACAGACAGACATATATTGGTGGAAGGTGTATTTATCTAATTATATCGGCAGCGAAAAACAAAACGTCACGGTTCTACAGGCCAGATTATTGCGTTTCGATTACTTGTAGGTGTCAACCATCATTCACAGAACTCGTAGAGCCCACTCAGCTCCTTAACCAATGAATATGGGGCAAGCTTTTCAGGGGGTTAAATGGCGGGAGGTGAAATTGGCAACTCACCTCCATCTAGAGCCAAGTTTCAGTACGTCTGACGCTTTGCCTCCACGCCCTTTATACGCCATCATGGCGTGGGTGGTCTGAACAGCGATTGCAAGGCAACGTGTTCAAACAACTAGTTACACAACCATAAGCAGGGAAGTCAAATTCGCAAAAAATTAACACTGATAATTAGATATGAAAATAAATGTGTAGTAGAAACTACTTCAAACTGCTAACACAGAAACTCAAGGACTCCGCACCACACCAACATAGTTGGGCTTTTTTTTTTCGTTACACGACGGCGAAACGCGAACCGAGTTATTTCTGCGTTCGCTCACACATACACGCCCGCACTGTCGACACCGAACATCTACCTGCTGACACACTCACTACTTTGGCCTCACTAACGCTCAAGCGGCTTCAGAATACACTAAAGTAACAGCCACAGGTGGATTTAATTTGTTTCCCCAACATCAATCATGCCCGTACTATACAAATGGCGCGATAAGAAGTATAAATATATGTGACAAGGTTGGCCAATATCCTAGTGCACCTACATAATCGCACAAACCTAATCTTTACTGCGACTGTGTCGATTATTTGCACCTATGCGACTTTAAATATACATGAAAGCGGCCGTGAACTATTTTAAGGCGTCATCTAGGCTCTTGCCTGGAGGGACTGAGATAAACAGCGGGTCTAAGAAATTAAATTCGAAAACGGGTCTCCAATGCTAACTACTACAGAGCAATGTTTTGTCAGTGGGGTTCTCCATTCTCGGATTAATCGATTATTGACGTATTTAACACTGGCTAAACTGCATAGGTTACATAACGTCTAATGGGAAATCAACTGCAAATGACAATTTGGAATAAAGCGACTGTTCCCTGCTTTCTGGCACTATTCTATAATTTGAATAAAAAGACTACGGAAACCAGAAAATGTCAGGTCTGTGATGTTGTGTAAACTCGTCAGTAGATACCAACTTTTCAGGGAAAAATAATGTCTTCATCTTCGGGGCGGAACTCAGACCTAAAGATGAAGACATTATGTTACTCTGAAACGTTGGTTCCTACTTACAAGTCCACATGACGTCATAATCTAGATCATCGTCATCATCTTCACACAGAGAACTTCTGTGAGGGCAGCCAGGGCCCGCGGCGAGATTCGCAACTGTGACATAAGGAAGTGGTAGCCATGGGGAAAGCGGCGTCCACTTTCAATTCTTGGACTACGACACTACAAATCGTCCATCAAAGTATGTATGTAAGACGTAGAAAGCCTAGTTCACAATGAGACAATACTTCAACAACTGTGACATAAGGAAGTGGTAGCCACGGGGAAAGCGGCGTCCACTTTCAATCCTTGGACTATGACACTACAAATCGTCCATCAATGTACGTATGTGAGATGTAGAAAGCCTAGTTCACAATGAGACGATACTTCACCATTCATCACAACTGCTCATCATTCACTGTCTCGATGACAACAAAACATAAGTACCACTGTCCATGTTTCGGTATTACTTCACTAATTCCCGGACTGAATGTTGTTCAGCAGTATGAAACGTTACTGAAGTTCCCACGCCAACCAATAAGATGTCAGCATTTTACTGCTATCTGCTCCTCTTGTGTTTGCGATCGCACAGAAATCATGAGCGAAGTATACACGTTCATGAGTAGACAACTTCATGAAAGCCAAAGATACATCAAATAAGAAATAAAACCCCATGTCATGCATTACAGGCCCTGGAACTAGATGGAGGATGACTGGGAAACTTCTGCCTCCAGTTGTTTTACCTTCCAGAAATAAATTCGGTAACTATTGTACAGGGGGCTAGGTGGGCTCAAGACATAGTCTGCTATAACTAACTCATTCACTCCACAGAGCAGGGACTGAAGAGTTTCGATACAACTTAGTAAGGATACCAATGGTAAGGTCAAGGTTTGCATTGGGTTTCTCTCAAATAATGCATGCAAGAGTAATTGTCTGATAGCAGTGCTTCATTCCGTCTTAAACTTTCTATTACAGCTGCTTAAATGAGGTCACATTATCAGGTAATGGCTGATAAAATATATAACAACCTCTTTAGCCTTTGGTGTATTCAGAATTCACAAAACTACCAAAAAGGTGATCTATTCTTAATGACACTGTTTCAACTACAAAAGTCACATAACATAAAATGAAAAAAAAAGTTTAATAAGCAGGGCGAGTAAATAAATTGAATGACCCATTTGAAAGTAGTCATAGAATGTGCCTGAAATTTCAAACATTCACTATAAAAAAAAACCCACCACCACCACATTTCATCCAAACTGCCAGTCAGTCTCCTTCCAAGTTCCAAACTGGTAACTCCCAAACACAAGCTGGATGTTGATCTAACTCCTCAGTGCTAAAAGGGGCCATTGCACAGACAAAGAACCATTAGAGATAAAGAAATCTTTGTCTGAATTAATGCTCTTAATCTACCTACCAACTAATAAAGTGACAAAGAACACAGGATTCATTTCATAGAGCTCACATTCATTCCTGTGATATTTTATGGTGACGTCTTACTGTACTGGTTTCTAAACAGTAGTTTGCAAACCCCCTTGAATAAACACACAATTTCAGGGGGTCAGTTAGAAAGTATGAGGGGGGGGGGGATAATGGCAGACATTCCTATGTCAATGAGCAAACGACATATTGCAAAAATAAATATACAATGAACTCCCTGGAAATATAAGTGCCTCCAATAAATTATCACTTTTATGAAAGTATTATTTATTGGAGGGAAATAAGAAACTTTTCAAAAGTATTTTACATATTTGTATATGGCAACACTGGTCAATAACTGAAGAAGTGTGCATGTGTACGTTCAGACATACCTGACATTCAGTATTTTGTTTTGCACATTATTACAAAAGTGGTAACAATTTATTCAAGGACCCTTGCAGTATAGATCTGTTTGCGATGGATTCTGGCACATAAGGACTTTAAATATCATGACCCAACTGTCCAAAAATGAACAGAAACCAACAAATTTTTTGTAAGATTTGAAGTTTTCACAGCAGTGAGTATGAAGATTTCTGTCTTCTGGTTCGTTGTTGAATATTCATCGCCCTGATGACGGAAGCAGTATGACCTCTGAAACGTTGGTAAATATCGACCAGACTACACAGAGCAACAACCTAGAAGACAGAAATCTTCATCGCCCTGATGATGGAGGCAGTATGACCTCTGAAACGTTGGTAAATATCGACCAGACTACACAGAGCAACAACCCAGAAGACATAAATCTTCAACAATTTTTTCTTTGTTCAGCCACTAGAAAAATTTATTTTGCAAACAACATTTTCATACTGCAGTCTGATTGAGTCATTCAAATTGAGCCGACTACATCCGGCTCTGAAGTTGTGATGGCGACACTTCAAAAGGGGTGCACATGTGTGTGGGAAGGCTAGGCCAGTTTAGGAGGGGGGCTGATTTGGGCTGACATCTTCTCGCCAGAACACGGACGCTCACTGAGGCTGTAGCCACGGATTCGGTCGGCAACTTTCTCTCCGGCTTGGCACCCCCTTCGAGGCGACCTTGGTTTGTATTTGTTTTCGCGTTGTGGTTGCCCGACCAGATAGGTAGATAGATGTTGGTGGATGGGGCAACCACCGTGTTTTTGGGTTATTCTTGGTCCCTCGGGGTGGTCATGGCCAGGGAGACAAATTGGAGTGTTGCCGAGAGTGAGCTGAGTCATAGGGCTTTTTGTTTTGTTCTTATATGTTTTATTTGTGAGTTTCTTTGTTTGTAATAGGGTAATCAATGACCCCGTGTAACGCGTATGTATTACAATTTGTCTTAAGAAAGTAAATGGTTTTGTTTCTAATTGTACATTGCTGTGTTTTGATTACACCCTTTTCAGGGACGTGGGCCAAGTGAACCAACGACATATAGAACTGAACACCTCCCCCTTTCAACTTTTGTTGAAAAGGGGAGAATGGATCAAAAGTAGAAGTGGCTAATAATCAATTAATCAATGCTACTCACATCTGCAGCGCAAGTAGCTGGTCTCATATAAGCACCAAAGTAGATCACCACACATGTCACACCATGTTGGATAGTTGCAGTGTGCCTGGGAGAAATCATGTCCTTTGCCTCCTTCCACTTCCTCCACCGGCAAAGGGATTACAAGAAAGAAAATTATTATACACTTTATAACTACCACAGTACTAATTATTAACACTACAACATGGTACAGTGATCCCTCGGTTTATAATTCCATGAAAGTAAAGTAAAGCTGTTCTGCTATATGCAATGTATGCACTTGGGGAGAGAGGAGGTATAGCTCATAAAGGGATTGTTAGAAAGAGGTAGTAAAATCCCCACTTAATGGTATCTGCACCTTGTTGTGGTGGTGGGGCTTGAGTACCTCAGTGACCCCAAGAGCTATGCTGGCGGTAGCATAGCTACTGGTAGGGCCTCCCTAGCCAGATTGGTCGAGGGGGAGAGGTCAGACTAAGACAAGTACCCTGGTCCTCCAGGTTGGGGGTTGGTCACAAGGCTAACAACCTTGCACCGTAAAAAGGAAGATGTTTTGAAACCTCAGTAAAAGCCTCAGACAAACAGACCTAACAGAGAACCGAATGGAAGAGGAGAACTGAGGAGGCCACAGACTGAATACGGACAGGAGAGCCATAGAAGAAGAAGAGGTAGTAAAATATTTTCTTTTTTGCAATTTGTCTTATGATCTAACTTTCTCAGACCCATGAAATCAGAAACAGTAACATTTTTTGGGAACAATGATTTTCTGAACATACATACAATTTGAATGTTGTTGCTATCGATAAGAACAGAATTATTACTGAGACAAACTAATTTAGAAATAGTAGTTAAAATTATTTTTCACAAATACACAGACAGAAAAATTAAGGCCAATGTTACCTCTTCATGTGTCCAAACAAAAGTTGAGGAATTTCTCAGCTTAGTTTCTTGAGTTTTTGGCCGCCTATCCATGAGAATGAAATCCATATTACAAACTCCTTGCTCTCCTTCAAGTTTCTGCAGAAGTGGTTTTGATGTAATCACTCCTGGCATATTTGTAAAAAACACATCACCAGGCATTGCCAGGTTACTGTGAATGTTCTTCCACAAAGCATCTGAAACCTGGAAATAATAAAACACACCAATCATTCAATGAATAATTCAGTAATTTGTACCTGATAACTTGAAAATATTTGCAATTAAAACTAAATAGAGAATAATTCAATTGTGGCCTACCTTAAGCAGTGAACAAAGAAACAAGGACTTGGGTACAGGCAACCTTTGGCAACAATTAACGTTGAAATTTGATACGTTACCTGGTTTATACACCAATATATTATTTCCTAATGCAGATAAAAGATAGCATAAGCGACCACTGAGCAACAAATGGATATAAAACTCCTAAAAAATGTGAACTTTGAACAAAGATTATGTTTTCGCCCTCTACTGTACGTTTGATGTACCTAAAGATGGCCATCTTCTGGGATGTTATACCACATACAGTGTAAGACTGTAATCTTGAGACTTGCGGGGTGAGGAAGTGGGGTGAACGAAGGAGGAGGAAAGATAGTGTCAGCCTTTAACACTTCAGACTTCATGCATTCCTTGCAAGTCTCAAGATTACAGTTGCGTACTATGGTCTGGTAGAAGTTTACACATGTTTCAAAGATGCCTACTACCTCCATCATCAGGGAAATTAATAAGATTATTCATGCCCTAATGATGCAGACAGTAAGCACCTCTGAAACATCAGTAAACTTCTACCAGACTACAGGGCATAACATCACAGAAGACAGCCATCTTCAAACAAAATGCCATGAGAACCTGAAATCTCACTCTGCTGTAGCTGACTATGAGTTACATGACCTGGGTTCAATTCCTGGCAGAAGCAGGACCTTTTCCACCACGATGTCCAGACAGACTTGATAGATACCATATTGGAAAGAGGTTTTTCCCTGACGATAGAGTATGAAACTGATTTTGCTCACCTTCAACCAACAGTGATGTCTATTTATTTATTTATTTGTGTTTTTTTTACAAAAGATTAAAGTATTCCCATTTTCCATTCTTCTCTCCCTTCTCTGGAGTATGAGTCCCAACTACACAAATTTTGCATGTGAAAATGTACTCAGGCCTAAATGTACAATGACAGTTAATGACTTAACACATGCTCAATTAAATTTTCACACACATTTTTAATTGCCAGTCACATATCATTACGGTATATATTCAAAAATACATGGAAATCAAGTTATCAATATTTAAAATAAAAGTCTGGCATGTAGGACAAGAGCTTCAGAGGAATCATAAATGTTGCCGAGAAATGGTTAGAAGAAAATTGTTTCATAAATTAAAACATTCTAATTAAACACATGATTAAGCAAAATAAGGTTCAATGAAACAAAATTAATGTTCATAAAAATTACTAGTGTACTCAGCTTTAACATATTATTACTGCTATACCTTGATATTTGAGAGTTGCACCAGTTCAATGTGTTCTACATCTGGGCTTGTTTTACTAGGGGCCTGCATCTGTTTCTGCGGTGACTGATTTAAGGGAGATGGTGTTCCAGGTTTACTAGGCTTGCGACGGAAGGGACTAAGGTTCAGTAAACCCCAGTTCTGCAGTAGTTCACCAATTCCCATATTCAGCCCAAATCGAGAATGACCGTCATCACTGGGAGTGGAAGAACTCTGAAACAAGAAAATCATATCCTCAATTTATAATTAGGGGCCCACAGTGTAAATTCAGCTAAAAATATTTTTACATTCACTGCAAGAGTTTGTAATTTTCGTATATCACAGAGGATTTAATACTGCCAGCACTGCAAACCACTGATTTAGCACAGAACTCCTTATAACTTAAAAAATTAAGGGAAAGATGGCATTTTGTTAAAAATGAGGTTGCTTGAAGGCTCGTGTACATTACCAAATATATATAATGTATGGTCCTTTTAGTGCCATGGGCTGATCAACGGGAAAATAGACCACACAGAGCTGTGCAGATGTGGTTTAGCATTGTACTGAGTTACTGAGTTCACAGCTGATTTCTTGGACTTGTGTGTATTTTATGGATTCACACAATTACAGCCATAGTAGCCAAAGTAATGCAGCACAAATGATGTGAGCACACCAAAAACGAGGTCAAAGTACATCTCTGATTTTACAACAACTATAACAAAACTATAGATTATACTGGCCAGTGTCTCTTAAATTACTGAGTGCAAAATATTAAAAAAAGTTTATCATCTACAGCATACTATCTTTCAACAAAGACAAAAAAAAATATTTTTTTAAGAAACTCAAACTTCTGTTTTACTGTCATCACAATATCCTTATGTTTTCAGCCATTTTACATAGGATCCATAAGTAATCAATGACACTTTCATCTAACTGACACAAAGTACAATGTAAGATAACTGACTTGTACAATTCGGAAAAGACCAAAATCATCTATTGCATCCCCTCTCTCCACAACCAGAATAACTGGAAAAATCATCCCTACCCCACTGCCGACAAAGACTGCAGTCAAGCACTGAAAAAAGGCATTGTTTGACAGTATCTTCTGTAGACTCCACCAAAACAAACATCTCCCTCCAAAAGCGGGAGAAGAAAGATGTCAAAAAAGGACAGGCACAGTTGTACACAGATAATCCAAACATGGATAATCATGAACATTCAGGTTATATAAAAAGCGGGAAATTTCTTGACCAGCTGAGTGTCTATTAGCTTTTCAAGAAGAAATCAGCACCGTGGGGTTATAGTTCGTTCTTCAACCACACTGGTTTTATGGTCATATCTTAGGATGAATGTAAATGATGAATACGAAAGATGTAAAAGTAGCCATAGCCTCTTTTAAGGTATGAGGTCATTACTTGCCTAGGACCAAGGAACACCATAAGGGCATCTGTCAGGATAACCAGACAGAACCAAACCTGAGCTCTCCCTAATACAAAACAGGATTAATTTGTAAAAACTCTTTTTTATACTTTGTCCACTGTCTAAATTACAAGTAGAAATAAAAACATACATTCAAAAGCTGAATCTTCTTCCATCCTCAGGTAAAGAGAAAATGACAGAAATCCTACCTCTTGAGCCCTCTCAGACCTGGGGACCCAACATGTAGGGTTTCTGTCTTTTCTTTTTTACCTGAAGGAAGAAGATCCAACTTCCAAAATATTTTATTTATGTAACTTGGATGATGGATAAAGTCCGAAAACCATGTCAATTCTAAAAGGTTCTGATGATGGTGTATTGCAATATGGATTACTGAGTTATTGGACTTTATTCAAAAACACACCATCAACATACACATTCAGACACCACAGAACAGGAGTGCTTGACCATACTGTTTCATATATTTCTGAAAATATACTCAAACGAAACATTACCTTCCCATTTTCTGAGAAGCTCTTTGACTCAGAAGCTGCACCTACTGCTCCATCCAGATTTGAAGAAGCAGCCATTATAGAAAATTAATCACATGTTTAATGAAGAAACAGGTACATCACTCGTTGTGCCAAACATCTGAAATTAACACAACACTCCAATGATACACAGTCTGTATTTGTTCTTCACAATCAAATCAAGATTTCATCAGATTTCTCAAACATGGTTCAATGAAGAAAGATATGTAAAACAGTACCTTTTGATCTGTAACATTCATTAAAACCTTCCACTTTTAATTTTGTGGGTATTTAGTAATATATCTATATACATGTGCATGTGCATGAGCTGGGATAGCTCAGTCAGTATAAAAGCCGGCCGGGGCGTGATGCTGACCACTCACCCCCATCTAGTGCCGAGGTCAAGGAAGGGAGGAGCTATACCTCCTCTCACCCCAAACGCCTACATGGCGTAGAGTGGGACAAACTTTACTTTTTTTTTACATGTGCATGTGCAAATGAGTGTGCAGACATGCACTGAGTTTTTCTATTTGTCTCATATATAAAATTTTGTCAAACCCAACCACAACTTCAGGAGCTGAAACATGCAACAAACACTGTATCCACATGAAATATATTAATAGTTACTGGTTATTAATGAAACATGCAACAAACACTGTATCCACATAAAATGTATTAATAGTTACTGGTTATTAATAAGTTACGCTAATGGATCTTGAGGATTCCATGAGCAGTACATTATTTCCTGTAAATCTATTGATATCAACTCCTTTGAATCTCAAGTACAATATCACAATCTCTGGAAATCTAAAAATTACAAACCTGTAACATGTGAAGATATTCGTGACTTGTGATGGCTTCAGTGTGTTTACTGATTGTAAGCACCTTTTAGTTGTCAATTTCATTTTGTTTACCTAATTTTGATATCTATGACCACAATCTTGAACAGAGAAGGGAAGAAAGGAAGCCCTAAAAAGACATAATATAGTTATTTCAGAACACATAAAAGTTTCTACACTTCAAAAATTTACCTGTCTGGTCCAATAATTTAAATTAATATAAATAACGCATTTTCATAATGCAACCAGTCATAATAGGATAGGTGAGGTCTCCACAAGTAGTAGCTTCACAATATCAATATCAATTCTGAAATAACTGTATACTGAAAAATATTTCAAATAAAGAGTTGATTAACAACATTCTAACTTAAGAACCATAAATCAATGTTACCTTAACCTATTCAAAATGTATGTAAGCAGTAATATAAGCTACACTACAAACATTAAGAAGTATAAATATTGCAATAACAAGTGTACATGCAACACAAGACTTTGGGTACAAGTTCGTTATAGATAAATACAAGCAACAGAAAAATTGCAAAAACAAAAACAAACTGAACATATGACCACCAAAGAAACCAGAAAACATAAGATAACATCAACAGAGATATAAGTCTCATTCTTGAATTATTCTTACTTTGCTTGCAATGTATCTCCACACAGTACAACATACTAATATTATCTACAACGAAATACCTTGTTCATTATCATAAACTGCTGAGGCATATCGATGTCAAATAGATCTGACCGTAACTATGTTCCTGTTCTGAAAAATCAGAAGATTAAAGTACCCCAAATTCTTAAACCCACTACGAACCGAAATTCAACAGTTAAAACTAGTTTATACAGATCCAATGCCTTCTTCGCGAACATCAATTCAAAAACTATTTCCCAACAAATCACACTTTGTGAATGACACAAATTCCGTGACAACTATATGCAGTTGAACTGTCACTCACAATATCCAGGTGATGTGAAGTCACGGATTATTTTAGCGTATTTCCCTTCTTCACGCCCAAAATTTCCCATTCAGAAGCGGGCGTGATTGAATTTAATTTCATTTAGCGGAACTGAAAAATAAATTATTTGTAATTTCTTTTGTCCTACCATGGACAGCCTGACTTAAATTCGAAACGGCTACCTGCTGACGAACCGATACACGAGAACATTTTCTGTATGGAATGAGAACGTATGTGTAATCGGTTTATTCATTTTTAAAATGTAAATGTCTTTCTATTACTATTAAGCACAATAAACTACAGTTTCCCCCAGACAAACTAAATATTTATACTAATACTATGAAGAGTCTGGTCTAGTCGCATATATGGAAATAATGAGTTTGCTCACCATACTAATTCTGGCAAATAACAGGTTTATTCTGACAAATAAAGTAACCTTCATAGATTGGCCACCTTAGAAATAAACTTACCTTCTGACATCACTACAAAAAGTCTGTCTGTAACGAAAACTTAGGTGAATATCATGCACCAAGTTCCTGAAATTTATTTCCAAATTACTAGGGGAAGGGTAAACCCACATTGCACCTATCAGCATCCGTCACGATATTACAAAGGATGAGGAGTAAGAAATTATGAGTTCGAAGCGGTGATTTTTGGCAAAACGTTCGTACAAAAGTTCAAGAATTTCCATCATAATATTGTGTTGTTCTGAATTGCCATATGGTTTGAACAACTAAACAATGTATATGTATGATTCTTCAACTAAATAATGTATGTTTGCAATTTTAACACAGAAGGCCTAAATCCATACAACTTTTATCTCTCTATCTCTCTCTCTTACACTTTGATAATGTGCATGTCTACATACATTAATTTTCTCCTCAGAAGCACAAAATTGGTGCCCTCTCTGTGAACTACTGGTCTTCATGTTGCCATTTGCATGTCAATAAAAGCAGAGTTGAAAGCTTGTAATTTATTTCTGTATTAACAGTTGTCAGTAAATGATGATCCTGCAGAAAGATGAGAGATATAATGAACAAAATATTAACTTAGTAGATTAGACAGGAATAAATAAGGATACACACAGAAATATTACATTATCTTTTTTACCAGCTTCATGAAAATACTTCTTGATACAAATAAGTGTTTTAGACAGTATTAATTACTCAGACACTACTAATACACACCTCAAGACAAATTCAAATCAGAACAAAATCGGTCAGAGTCCACGTTACGTCAATTTGCAGCGTAACTGCTGCAAAGGGGCACCTGGTGCAGACAGGCATGCACAAAATCAACAGAATGTAAAGGTGTTAGCGATTAATGAAATTATCAGAATTTATTAGAATCATGTGGTGCCATACAGTTAATTCTTTCCATAGGTGATGACACTTTCTCTCCATCATCATCGACTTCATTCCCTTATCGAGGTACCATGGACGATGATGTATGGTTTCCATGTTCTACTGACGACAGGCCAACAAGCATCCTAGTACCATCACTCAAGAGGCTACTCTTTAAAGTATGTTGTATGGACAGATAAGAGTTAAGCACATGTGTTTTTTCATTCACATGAACCACTGATTAGTTTCTACCAGCTTGCCTTTTTGGAGTGGTAACTAACCCAACAGACTCAGGTATATCTGTCTCATCATCTCTTATTTCATCTCCTCCAGACTTGTTTTGGACACCGTGAACTTCCACTCTATACACAGCACATATGTGGTCATATCCAGATTTAATTGTGAAACGCAAGTGGCGTGCAATAAACTTTGCTTCATGCAATGACTCAACTTGGTGGCAATGGTCTGTGACATCAAGCTCTGTTAAAAAATAAAGCATTATTTTATTAACTGACTACAGCTGATGAGGACTCATTAAATATATTTTTAAATTGTAACCTAAGAGATAAACTACAAAAGGTAGCCAACTGCTTTAGGAACTACTACTTCCACTCTCTGGCATTATAATCAGTGACATATAATATACCACAGAGACAAAAGGTAGCCAACTGCTTTAGGAACCACTACTTCCACTCTCTGGCATTACAATCAGTGACATATAATATACCACAGACAGACTTCTGTTCTCACACTTTTCACAGTGCCAATCTTGGACAAAAGGTGTAGGATGCAGACAACTAATTCTCCTACAAGTGGAGGAGACAAAACTTTTCCTGAACATCAATAAAATACATATTTGCAACATAGTCACTTGGAGGCAGTAAACAAGGTTTTAAAACAAGTGAGTTTAGTTCAGTTGATTCTCCCCAAAATAAACAACAGAACTGGAGTCCTGACCCAGCAATCATCTTCATTTTTTCAAACATCCATCAGACCATGAACATTATATAAAGTGAATTCATAACAAAAATAAAAAGTGATTAAGCACTGTCTGTAAAGATAATTGAAATAGTTTTCCTTAAAGGCATAAAAGCTTTAACTGCTTGAAATACTGTTGTGGAATTTCGTAGAATTTTACTTGCCTGTCTCACAAACATACTCAAATCGTTGTGGACTTTCAGCAGAACTTTTTTCCAGAGAGATTAATCGCACTGAAAAATAAAAACAATTACATAAATTAAATTTCTTACCATGACATAACTACACATTTTTAAATGCAGTGAAAAAAACATTAAGTTCATGAGATATGTAGTTAAAGGGATGATAAATTTTAGGTATATTACTGAAGTTTAGATAAGAAATAGAGTAATCACTAAATATAATGCATGTCCCTTTGTAGGGAACTTGTTAACTATAGACACCAGTAGCTTTATTAAACCAAGTTTGTGCTGGTCTAAATAAATAGCAAAACATTCTTGAATATTAAAATACTTATTATAAAGAGCAATTTGATGCAGTCTCTTGGAGATAGAAAAAACAGTTTTAAAACATTATTTATATGAGTTCTGCCACCATTACTATACATTTTCCCCAGAAATACTATTATTTCCTGGATGGAATATAAAGTGCATCCAATGTAGCTCATAAGCTTAAATTTAAAATTGACAACATACACAGTTCATGGGACCAAATAAATCTGCAGATCAGAATTTTTCCTTATCAATATTGATCTTCTGGGAAGTAATGTCATGTAGACTTGTAGGTTTTGGAGGAACAAACTACATCCATTAATGGGGCTGAAGATGGAAGCAATATGTTCCTCCAAAACTTCAAAATCATGGTTTCTCATGACATATAAGTCCACATGGCATTACTGGAAACTGGTCTAGGATATTCAATTACAAGTTGGGGTAATGTTCAGATGTGTCATTAGAATAAAGGTTTGACAAGAACAGAATGCAATGACCAGCTTTATTTCTATAAACTTTAAACTTACCAAAATAGCTTCTAATCTTAACTGATGAAATAATTACTGGATTTGGAAAAGTTAAGATAAAGACTTGGGGATAGAGACCAGTAGTACACCAATATGTGTTCCTTTGCCTGTAACCAAATTAAACAATTTTCAGTGCATAAATATATAAATATCAAATCAAAATTTTCTAAACATGAACATAAGTTTCAGTGATACGAGATACTATTCAACACAGCATTCAATATCTACACGAATCTTTCTTTAAACATCTCTCCTTCTTTCCACCAATATGAAATGTGTAATGGGTAATGTCAAGGCAGACCTTCCCCAAAAGTAAAGAAACCCAAACTGGCTATATGGGACTGCTTGTTTCACAATATGGGGCATCAATAGTATGCACAAGTAAAAATAAGAAACCCAACTTCTAAAATTTGAGGCTCTTACTGTGGTGAAAATGTCGATTGTGGTCTTCTAGCCACCACTAACGTGACTAACTAAAGGCAGGCAAAATATGTTCATGTCCGTTGTAGAACTAACTTCTGTAACCTACCAATTCTACTACATCACAATTTGGATATTACGTGTGATTAGCGCATAATATACAATGTGTGGCCACGCTTTCACATACACTGCAATTAATTACAAAACTCAATATAATCGCTACAGTTAATAATACCCCGTGTAAGATAGAAGGCACATCACGTTTTAATAAGGAATGAAAACATAAACTTGCATAACACCTACGTGAAGCACTATTTCGTATAACCAGTAAAATCCACTGTATAACTATTGACTTTGGAATAAAACTTTTAAGTTATAATAAAACAAATATTAACCAACACTTACCCGTCAATTATTTTCGAACATTCGTCGTAACTACCACAAGAAGAAGACGAATATGAAACTACACATCCTCTCGACTCTAACGCCAATTCTTCTACCTCTCCCATACTTGATTACGAGATAATTATAGTCTCAACTAACGTAATACCAAGTAATGTCAATTCATAATACGGAATATATATCAAATTAAACTGCCAATACAAACAAAAGCAGACGAAGAATTCATTCCGAACATCAAGTCATCTGTGATTTGTTCTATAACATTGTTGCCAAGTACTTGGTGCGAAAAATTTCCCCGTAAAATTATAAATACATACTAAAGCGGCACTGTCAATACATTCTGCCAGTGTTGTAATACTTAATATATTTTCTGATCTTAGTCAAACTAAAAATATATGTTTCTGTTATAACATGAAATACACTGCTATACTTGAAATGAATACAAGACAAAGTGAAACTCCTGTACAGAAATATTACAATAATATCTTGGATAATTTTCAATGATGGTCATATATAATCTCATTTGACTATATTTACTTGCATAACATCTGACCAATACTGACCTCCACACTGCCTCACATTCCAACTGGAACTTCCACTTTCCTAAAGGGGATTTCAATGAAATTACAACTAGTAATCTAAATACACCTGAAGATTATGTACCACTAGTGCAGTGAAAACATATCAAAAGGTTTTACTCCCCTGAGAAGCTGCTGATACATTTGACTAGCCATAAAGCCTTGCCTCTTAAGGAACCTTCAGATTTATTACTGTATTCACAATAGCCCTAAACCATTACCTATCCTGAGCCAGATCAATCCAGTCCACATCCTTCCACCCAGTTTCCCAAAGATCCATTTTTATATTATCCTCCCATATATGTCTGTATCTTCCAAGATAATACTTGTAAAATAATAATAAAAAAGGAATAATGCCAATGTTCCTTGCATTCCAAAATTCTGAGACTGCAATGTAAACAAATTTAATAGTGAAATCAAACTGCTTGTATGATAAAACTTTGAGACCAACAATGTTTAACTATGTGATTTTCACTCCAAAAACAAGAAATGTGGAATAATGCTTAAAAAGAGCGGAAAATGGAAGATTTTTCATTTTAATGAACAATAATACATCATCAACACATTATTTTCCAAAAATAAACATAATTCATGACCTCAGAAATTCTGTTACATTTTCAGCAGTCCTTTGGCCCTTATATAAAAACAAGAGTTTTCAATTCTATGTGGGTCATACATTTTCATTGTAAGTAGATATGACTGTAAATCCAATTGGACCATATGGTATATATGACTAAATATTAGATATAAAAGCACAAAACTGAAATCATACCTAGATTTGTTGCTAGGAGTACATTTTCCCTCAGTGTTTTATGTTGAATCATATAAATTCATAATTAATTACCAATGTTAACACACCTGACTCATAAAATATTAAAAATGTGAGAGAAAATGCAAGCATGGCACGTTGAGGTTTAATATGTGATACATATTCTTTTAATTGTTTTGAGTAAAATTTGGTAAATTACACTCACATGTTTCTTGTATTACATATGTAGCACTTGGAAAAGACAGATGGCACAAAATAACTTAAAATATAAATACATGTATTCAAATAACATAATATCAGTCCTTTAACTGATTATAATAATGATGTCTCATTTTCTGTCTCTAAAGCTATACAACACAACGAACTGACTCTTAAAAGTAATTTTCAAATTATTTCCAGATTCATCTTTACATACTTTCATTAGAGAAAACACAAGTAAACTGGTTTGCAGAAAATAAAACAGCATGCAAAATAAGTATTTACCATATTAAAACACATAAAGGGTTACAAATAGTAATCAATAATGGCACAATTAAAGCACAATAATATGTTCAGAAGCACTAGAAGGAAGAGAAAACATGGTTAACATATAGTACTTCAAATGGTATTACATGAATATTGCCTTTTAAAATTTGTGACACCTTGCTCTCAATTAAATTTGAATCACATACACTCATGGCAAATATCATGAAAAACCTATGACACTATGTTCAAACTTGTTCATAAGGCACACGCATTTTGGTCTGTAAATACGTCACAATGTATTGCTGCAAAATTAATACTACATATTTCAAAAAATAATTATGCAACTGAACAAGGGACACTAGGATTAGGAAAATCATAAATTGAAGCTCATACCTAAGGGAAAAGGAAGAAGGTATTTATTAGAATATGTTCTAAAATTAGTTACATTTTTAACCAATGACAAAGTCACTGCTAACTTATTCCAAATTTAGATCTATAAATAAATGTCCTATGACAGATGTACCTTATTATTTGCTGCTGCAAGAAACTGAAATCTCATCACAAAAGTATTTTATATCACCATACACTGATGCAATAACTGCCCAAATTGTTTGAATTGATGGTGACTCAAGTCAATTTATTTTATTAAATTTATTGCTAACACTACAGTAGTCATTACATGTTCCAAACCTAGGATTTTTGCACATGTCCTTAGTGAATGATACAATGACACAATTAATTGTGATGAGTCAACTCCTTCAGGCACCATTTTCTTCTTTATTAAAGCCACCAGGCCATTTCTTACATCAGACATCAGAGATGCACCACCAAACACAATACTGACAAGCCTTGAAACTCACGGTCATAATTTTACCATTAGTTTTTTCTAATTTTTCCATCTAGTCCAACCCCTTTGGTGATGCCTTACATGCTTTGTGTGACAGCCATCTCTTCCAAAACATATAAAATCACCAGTGAAATCTCAAATTAGTACATCAAATTGTGCAGTATCACTACTGTCCATACTTTCATGAAATATTAATGAATAAGCTGAAAGCTGCATACTCTGTTTGTCAAGGACTTCCTGCAATATTGTAAATTCTACAGCAGATAGTGAGGAAAAAAACTAGTATCTTTGCAGGATAAGAAAGTGTTCATTGTATCCAAATTTTTAACACTGAATTAAATAGCTGCCAGAATAATGTTTTTGTGGTTTAATATTATTATAATATCACATTACACTGTACACTCGATAGGTTAGAAATGTATACTGGAGTATTTTCATTATTACTTTTTGGACACTACATCATGAATAAGTGTACACAGGACAAATTTATAGAAGGTGAATATTAATTGGCAGTACTCCTGAAATACGTTCAACCACTTTCTATAGGCAAGTTTACAGTGACTAGGGCAAGAATATTTCTAACCTTGGTCATGGATATATTAAAAATGTAACCAAACAATTTATCACAATCAGTGTGTAGTGCCAAAAACTCAGCTGTTCTGTGAATGTCTGAAGGGACTGCATATTATAGTGGTTTTGAAGTACCTGGCACACTGTAACTAACATTTAATTTAAAAATTACTCAGTAAAAGTAAATGGGTGTGTCTATGCATATGTACCAGAAGGAAGGTAAGGAGTATTGAGAATGTGTAAAGTTCATTAATTTTTAAGAATTATGTTAGTGCACAAAAAGAGAAAAAATATCAGAACCCCCAGACTAAGTTTTTCAAAGAAATATGTGCTGACCTCAAACATACTGCAGCCAGTTTCTGTTAAATTTACTGAACACAAAATAAACACAGGTACATTAGTAGAAGCACTAGAATATATTCACATTTAAACATTTCTAGGCACACCTCCATCTGTAGGTAGTGAGGTCTGAACACAAATCCTCAGAATAAATGTTATAACACATTTCTACTAATAACTACAAACACTTTATCACAAACTTGTCATAAAATATTGAGAACAGTTTTTGGCAAATTAAAGCTAAGTTCATTCAGACATCTTGAGAATTAAAAAATTATATGGAATACCATTTTCCAATAATAATTATTACAAAATGTTCTTGTTTTAATTGTTTCTTGTTTGTGATACAATGTGCATCACTTTTAATATTATGCATTTATATAGCATGCCTTTGAACCCATATTATTTTACATCCCTCTGATATATTTTGTATGTACTTGACATTAATTTTAGCCATACTTCACTTTTAGAACACTCCAGTACCACCTGTATCATGCACCACTAAAAATTTCTTTCTGACTACAAGTAAAGAAAGGGTACTTCAGAAGTCTTCACAAAATAAACACATGAGCAGATTTGTCTTATTTACTTAGAAAAAAGTATGGTAACCACATTGAAAACAAATACAGAAACTAGGAATTAGAAAAGCACAGTGCCATCATCAAGAGGTGATGCCACTCTTCCAAAAGCGATGAACACGAGACTTGTCATCAAACAGGCTTTTGACCATTATCACCTGGAAAAAAGTTTCATATTGGACAGTATCTTGCTATTTCTTGTGATACAAATTTGTTGCTAATGGGTCATTCTGTAGCAAACCACCCATAATAAAATAAGGTTTTATCACAAGTCACAAATTCATGCATGACTTGTATGATCATAATTATGCAGCTTTTTTTCTGTGACTAATATACATTCCTATCAGGCTTAACCTCAAAGTGTATATTTCAATGAGGTGTAAAATGTAAATCAGTATTGGTCAATGCTTAGTTTGAACGTTTCTTAAATGATAATTCTTGTCAAAAAACGTTCACCTAGAAAAATGAGATTATAAATGTTATCTCACAGAAAATGAACATGAACCGCTGACATTACTCGTATCTTCCAAAATAAATTTAATTAATTTTCAACATCAAAAACTTTCATAAATTTGGAAAAGACTACTGTGACTTCATGAAAATACATAAATGTTTTATGCAACCATTCAGCAAAATTACATTGAAAATACCCAGAACATATGGACTAATACATGGAATAAAACATTATATGTCTGAAGTAGCTAAAGGTATAATCACACTCAGATACAGCTGGTGATCTCTGAGCATCACCATTAAAGTTGCAAAAGCATAAATAGTCATGAAGTTATAGGGAAGAAATCACATCCAGACACACAATCAAAATTCTCCAAATGTGTTGAACATCACTCAAATTACTGTGTATGCATCATCACTCTACTTGCCTGAATTAATCCTACAAAAAGCATCACAACAATCTGAATCATGGACCAATAATTCACTCGTATAAAGTTGCCTTCTGCAATGTTTCGATCCCTTGCCTCAAAAGCACGTAGTGTATCCTGGACATGTCGAATTTTTACAAGATGTGTGTGCACACGGCTCATTGCATCCTATTTGTAAGAAAAATATGATCTTTCACAAATACAATGACTGATATTATGATACCTATATACTTACCTTTCATTAAAATAAAGTTATCAGTAAAGAGGTTTGAGAGGAAAAGGGAATTTAAGAAGTAATTTAAAATATCACATTTACAATTTTTATATTAAAATACTTTTATAAAAGCATTTTGTAAAAAAACTGAACACCGGGAACAGCTTTATGAAACAGTGATAATATGCCATACTGATATGAACACCAAGCAACATTTTCATTTAATTCTCTAGATGTTAGGCTACAATGCCTAGTGAATTCATTTAGAACTGTAACAAATGTACTACTAATTATAATTCTATTACCAAATAACAATAATATACTTATGCTGCAACCAAGGAACATCATTATGTGGTAATGTGAAATGTAAGTAGCAACCCCACCGTCCTATCTAATATTCAGACGACGGCATCAATGCTCTTACGTGGATTGCCACTGGACTTTGTTGAAGTATCTCTGCATCTGTATCAGAATAACTGCAGCCAATTCCACAGTACCTTATTCCTGTTTCTTCTACGTCTCCATCTTGGCGTGGCTTCAGTTTAATTTGACATTTCTGCTCTTATATGCGATATAGATGGCAAATATTGCAACTACCACAAGTATACAATACATGAGGTGCAGTAGTTTTTGGCCAGTGGAGAAGCTAGCGGACGGACCTACTCTGTGTACTTGAGGTGGCAAGGTCAGTGTATTTGTTTTATTTGGGCTTTCAGTCTGATAAGCTCCTCGTCCTTCCTGGAGACAGCCAAAACTCGCTCCTAGCCTTCCCCTTGAATATTCCACTGGCCAAGAACTACTGCGACCACTATACCTGGAAGAGGTCTATCCATAAAATAAAAGGTATTCATTGGTGACAAACATTTAAAAATTACAGAAAACTAATAGGTGCCAGGAAGCAATAGTGTGACACCAGTCTTCAGTATATTAACACACAGAATCTCACCTGAATATCCTGTATCTTCATATCATATAATTCCTCAGGACTTAAGCCATCATAATTTTCAAAATCGACATCCCATGGATCTCTTTCATCATCATCATTACTTTCCACAATAATTTCAAAGAAGACAGTTTTGCTATTGAAATTACTAAATGTATTATCCCAGCATATTCTGTAATCTCCTTCTTCAGATGCTTCTATCCTAAAAACAGAAAGAAAGAATTGTAATACCATATCTGCCTGAATGTAACATGCTCAAATTCTAAATGGTTAAATAAAGAAAAAACATGAATATCAGTTGTACAAAATGTAATGAAATGATTGTAAATGCACCAAACAAATATGAGCATGTACAAATGTAAGCATAACCTGGCAGGAAAATGGCTATTAATATTTTAGTTTTACAATCCACTGTCCAACAGATAAATATTTAAATCACTACCATTAAAACTGAACTGTACAACAAAGTTTCCATAATACAGGTCAGATTAACTCAGTTACATTTACTTCACTTTATGAAGACATAGAAAACAAAAGAAAATTCCATAAACAGGACACAAAAACATCTTTACCTATGAGAATTCTCAGGTTTCTTTAAATCTGAAACAACTATTCTCCCTGATGGTGTAGCGAGGTAAAATGAGATGTCAATTTCTCCTTGTCCACCATCAATTACCTGAAATAATTGAACTGAATGGTTTATATAATTCTAAGCTCATCTGCAGATAAACTGTAATGCATTAAATAAACATAACACATTGAATAAACATTATGTATTACCCATCATTCCCATATAACTTCTTACAAATGGCAAGTGTAGATTTGTTCTAATCAATGGTATCTTCACCTTGATTAAGATGTCATTTTAAAAAATATGACACTGATAAATTTCTTTAACTTGAAGAATTTATTATAATGAATGGCCTAGTTTGCCTAGTGGATAAGAAAGCAGTGGGCAAATAAAGGATCTTATAGGAAGAGGAAGAAGATGTTTTTCTACATTTTGTATTAGAACCTTTTTAATGACAAGAAAGAGAATGATTTTTTTAGTAGGAAATGGTTTATTACAATGAAGGAGCTTATAATAAAACGATAAAACTGTACAAAGGCTGTAGAATTAAGGTATACAGAAGAACATCTGTATAAAGACGTCTGTAAACAAAAGAACAAACATAGCAAGACATATGTGGTAACAGAGAGAGGATGGGTAGGTTTCTAATTATAGGAATACTTGTCCAACTGTGAAGCACCATTAGAGATAATTATATCAGGCTGCAATATACAAAACCTAGTGATAAACAAATGCAGTCTGCTGCATAGAGAAGTTTTACTCAATAAATTAATGAAAAATAAGTTACATAACCTTTACATTCCAAAGTTTAATAAATATTAGTGTGAGTTAAGGTAAAACTCATGTAGGTCAAATAAAGGAAGAAACATACTTTTTAGGATATTATTATATAACTGTAACACTAATAATTACATCGAATGAAGCAATAAAAATTATGAGAAGACATTTGTGTTAAGATTTCTAAACCTATAAATTATTACATAATGAAACAGAATGCATAATACCTACTTTATTACCCTATGCAATAAACAAATTTAAAAATGTATATGCTTACTTGGTATTCAAGATCAATTACTTGCCCAAGTTTTACTGTCTGATAGAAACATTCCTGCCTTCCTGGGTCGATGCTTATTGTCATTTCTTTCTCCATACACATAACGCTTTCTATATACACCAGAATAGGCACTAAACTCAAAATAACGTTGCAGTGCAGCATTTTAATTCAATACCAATAAACACTTCGAAACTGCATATCACAATGTTATAACTGACATATTAAATTCACCCGAGAACTTACTACCAGCACTATACGTATTCACTGATTCATAATGGGCAACTTATATGCTTACCAAAATCAAAAATTCCCCACGAGCACGGAACTAGAAAGGATAGAAATAAAATATTTGATAAACTGGGGTGTTCTTATCGTTTCCGATAATAACAATAACAAACTTAAATCATATAATGTCAAATAAGAGCAGGCCTTTGTTATGTGGAATGTCCTATCGTCCGGTAAATTTTTTTGTGGTGTATGAGGGAACAAAATACTCTGTCACTGAATCTGTAACAAAATAGTATTTGTTGAAGTACATACAGTAAAGATCCACATTTTGATTACAATAGTTTGGACGCATTAAAATCTATCTCACTCTCAAGATGTAATTAATTTTTTCATTGTCGAGAGCGGGTGTCGTATATACGAAGATTTCTTTCTTACGGATTTCGCGAAACATGGTCACACAAGATCAACAGTAGGTTACCGGATCCAAGGGAAGGGAAGTTTATGGCAATCGCCAAATTTAAGAAATATGAATGATGGACAGCTACGCAGATTTGAGCTAAAATTAATGAAGGTGTCGAACAAATAAGGAAGGAAATACAAACTAAGAAAAAATAATGTCAGCAACTGTAGAGCTTCCCTCTTCTTTGTGACACTTTGTACTTATATTCGATGTGACGCAAACCACAAAGTGTGTGTGGGTGACTAGCATGATAGCTTGTAATGCCATTCACTGCCTCCTCACCTCATGACAATACTATATAATGTAATCTGTTGCACATGCACTCTCAGAGAACGAACGAATTGGCTCACATCACCTGGAAACTGTATCATAGCATTATATTTCCAAATACTTTCCTTAACTGAAAGGCCAGAGGTCTGCTAGTCATCAGCACATCCTATCAAAATTAACTCACCACCTGATATGAAAGGGAAAAGAGCAAATTTCTGATGACTTTTTTTATGAGTCTGTTACCTCTACATCAGGTGACCACAGCACCCCTGAAGTCAATGCTGACAGCCCATTTGCTTCACTATGAAGGCACCATAGGCTAACACCAGAACATATTTTCCCATTTCTAAACGTAGGAGAGAGTATAAAGGCACACAAATACTCAGATATTCACAGATACTCCAATGGAAAGCAGAAATAGAAACCACTGGGGGAAAAACAAGCTTCCAAGATAAAAATTATTTAACCAAGCCCTGAAGAAGATTGTATAAAGCTAGAATTGCAGAATGCAGATGTGAAGATTTTGAAGATGAAATTTCAGGTAGTGAGCTTTAAGTGAAGGTAGTGGAGGACTATTCTGATTCAGTGCTGGTAAGAAAATGAAGTCACTTTTTTGCACAAATAGTTTCAGCCAGTATCAAACAAAATGAAGCTAAATACTAAAAGAAAATGTAAAAATCAAACAACTTTGTTCTTGATGACAACACTGAAATCCATTTAGTTCCTACTAAAAATATATTGAGCAAGTTATCTTATCTCCTCCAGGACTATTGAAAAATCTAAAATGAAGATCAGGTGAGTTTTCAGATAAATTTTCGTTCTTTTAAAATGGATTAACAGATTACACAAAATACAGGAATAATAACCATTACAAAAAACTAATTTTTATAAGAATCAGAAGTTTCAGCAGCAATAATGCAAGTCCTTTTACTGAAATAAGTAATACAGGATGATGTTTGACAATTCCTGTTTATTTAAAATAAAAAAAAAAATAAACTAACAACTTGTTCTGGTATGTCACACTGTAGACTTGTAGGTGGATATCTGCATTTCAGAGAAATGTACCATCTTCGAAATGTTAATATCTACCTATGAATCCACATAGCATCATAACCTAGACTATCATTAAATTCACCACTGAGAACCTCAAATCTTACAAAAGAAATAGCATATTTTATAATCAACAGAAAGTGTGGGAGGAGGGCATATGAGTATATTTCTTAAGAAATACATTTTTTATTGATTGGTAAGAAAGAAAAAGGTTCTTCTGCTCAAGCATGAATGAGAATACTTAAAGACTATAAGTGAGTCCTAATAATACCATGAAGTTCAAACTGATTGATTACTAGATTATATAGGGGATTTTTTCAACTGTATATGTTGGCACCATCATTGTTATGGCAAATCTGAATAATGAACTTGAAAGAATGTGGAAGGAAGTGGTTATGCAACCTATTTTTGAGGTAAGATATTAAGTCTGCCTAGAGAGACAGGATAACCAGTCTTCTGGCTTCAATTCAAATGCTGGACGTACAAAATACATAGTAATAACATTAACCACTCAACTGTAATATTTGGTATTATCATACCAAATTATCTATTTGGTAACAGGTGTAATAAAGTCACTTTGAACCCTACAATGTATAGACTTATATGAATAATGTAATAGGTGTTGTTCATTGCAATATTGAATGCAGAAATAATCTAAATAAGTATGGAAATTAATTAGAGGAATATTTAACTATGCAGTAAGGGGAGGTAATGAAGACAGGAGGACAGTAAGGATTTGTGTAAAAACTACTTGGATCTACAACAGAGAGGTCTTAGGTTTGATCTTCATCTTCAGCAATACTTTTCCTCTACAAAACATGCATGTATGAATAGTACTTTAATGTCTTAACATAAAATAACTTAATTAATAATACATTACCATGGTGACTTTTTCAGCATTTAAATTATGTACTATAAATCACTGTTATCAGTGATATTATAACTGTGGCCAGCACATAAGGTGAAGATGAAGTGTGAAATGAAGAAAGCAAGTGGTTCTAGAAGGGAAGAATCCAAGGCACATGAGGCAATGTAACTCAGCATACAAACTTAATGTAATATTCATATTAGCATCAAAATGGTCAATATGTAAGCATTTACCATGTACTGAGAACCAGTTTGTTTGATCTCTTTATAACATAGAGCATATGGTTTATTTCCAAGGCATTTGCCAATAATATATAGGTTGTGTTTTTGCGACATACCTTTCAGAAAAGTAAGGTAATAGTCATTCTTTTATATGGCTCAAAAGCTGTTAGTGTACAAAGATTTTTCTTTAAAAATGTGTGTACCTTTAGGAAATATCCTGTAGTAATTAGTTAATACATAACCAATGTTTTAGTGATAACCGAGGGGCAGCAGTGGTAAGCAAAACACGAACATACACATATCTGTACATACAAACATGTGTATTCACATTGCAAGATATATATTAAATACTAAACATTCTTTCTTACAGTAGTTTTATTGAGTTGCACTCAATATAAAACAGTGTTGCAAGTAATTAAGAAAAATATAATTAAATATTAGAGATGATCTGAGACCACAGATAATCCACTCCAATGATAATTGGGCCCTGGACAATCTGCGCCCTACTGCATATTTAATATATTGCCATCATCTAGGTGGTATCAGTGGTCTGAGCACTAAATTTCCAATACTTTGTATAACAATATTGTGTTTCATAGTCCTGAGAAGTTGCTTAGTAACCTGTGTGCTAAAAACCTAGCCACCTTCCATCTTATGGGATACAGTCGCATCCTTACTTGAGTTACTCAGTCATGACCTTCCCATGTCTGAAAATCACAATTGGATTTGCTGCACATAGATTAATAACACTCAATGCAAACTACTAAGTCAATGAAGGGAAAAAAATAATAAAACGACTTGATTGTGAAATAATTTTTCTACTTGTCATAAAAATTTATATGGTTTTAACTTGAATTCATGGACTCCTGTAAATTAAACTGCCTAAAGGCCCTGGTCTGAGGGCAGCACCCTACTTAGTCCAGAGGTTAATCCTCTTTGAAGACCCAGGGACTCTACTAGACCTGGGATCTATATGGAGGCCTTGACTATGGCCATCAGATTTATGATTTTGCTATTTGAGCACAAATTTTCTGGATCCTTGTGATTTTCATTAGACTTCTGAGTAAGATACTGTGCATTGTGTAGGTACAGGACTACTGGCAGATCAGAAGAATGGGGATGCACAAACTAATGGTTGTAGTGCAAGGGTCACTCTGACACCCACTCCATTCATACATATAAATTAAACTTGGATCATTAATTGAGAATTTCTGCTATAAATGACAGCTGAGTTATGTTTTGTCACAGTCTATGAAATGTCAAACCATTCATTTTTAAGAATTCTTGAAATATTTAATGTTGTTATTGATCAAGGAACATTCTCTTTAAATAATTTATATTTCTCTCTCTTCCTTTCAGCCATACTTTCTTAAATAACTATAGTGATATAGATATAGGTAATATATCATTGACTAAGTGGCTCTTAATAGTCACAGCAGAAGTGTTGACCAAGCCATGATGAAAACATTATCTGAAATTTCAGATCTGGATAACAGTTCAAGTCCATGACACAAGTTACATAAGCATCCTCTTGGTGTTTTATTGACAAACAATATTGTATTTTTATTCAAGTGGTTCACTTCTTGAAGTTAAATTCATTTTGAATGACTAGTAGAACTGCAATTTAGTAGAACTGTGATGTCACTCTGATGCCAAGTTGTTTGCCCACATCTATACAATTTTACCTGAAAATCAACCATATGCTCAATCATGTAAACAGTACATAATTGTACATTTAGTATGTAGTACATAGTTTTGTACATAACAACTGCATTTCAGTTTTTCTATATATCAAATATTATGTCAAGTATGATCAATGTGCAGAAATGTGTGAATGAAGGAGCCAAGGAAAGGCTTGAGTTGTGGAGATGCATATGCAGATATACCAATGCTTTTAAACATTACATTGTTCTGTACTTTTTTTGAGCTGACTTCAAATATCAATGTTTATCAGTACAAATAATGTCAAAATTTGTTTATCACAGGTCCATATTTTCACCACAATAGCACTTCAGCTTATGAATGACAACATGTCAATGAACCAGTCACATCACATCACATCACAAAACTTCTCAGAGATTGTATTGTAACAGCTGTCACAGGGCATTTCATGATAGGCATATAATACTGATAACCATTTCTCACAAACTGCTCTTTATAGTACCATTATTACACAATCAGCTGTTTTAATATCACCAAGTTAGTGTTGTTATATTTTCCTAAATCAAGAGCAGCAGAAGCCTCATTTTTCTTGGTTTGTGTATGCCAAACTAGAACCTTTAAAAAAATAAACAGGAGCGTTAAAACACAAAATCAGAGACATGATATTGCAACTAAAAGTAAATACATACACTTATTTAGGAATTTCTTAAATATATATGTGGGTGATTTAGTATGAATGGAATTGACTATAAGCAGATTTGGTTACATTTTATAACAGAAACTCATTAAGAAGTTTTCCCACCAAAACTGTCACAAACATTTCTTTAATCTGCATATCTAGTACAGGCAGCCCTTGATTTATGCCGGGGATGCGTTCCTGGACGAACTGGTGTAAATGGAATTGGCGTAAATTGAAACTCTTTTATAATGTAAATTCGCGTTAATGAAACATACATAATTGCAGAGATGACTGTATTTATAATTTTTATTCAAAATCAGCGATGTAAGAATTATGATTTAGTATAAGAATCAGTACGAGATACATTGTAAAATGTTATAAATAATAGTAAAATATATTTTTTTCACTTTCTGACATGCTGGTTTCAAAATCGGCGTTATTCTGAATCGGCGCAAATCGAGGGCTACCTGTATTTGTAACCTCCTTGATCTAACCTTAATCAGCCATGTGTCACTACTTACATGCAATCCAGCTGGCTGGCCAGGCACCACTATAGAATACAGCCAAGACAGTACAGTACATACTATGAAGGTTCTAACCTTAGTGGTAACTGTAAACCCACCTGCTTTAATAATTTTGTGTTTTTGAAGCTGGCACTAAGAGAAAAAACCTGGATTTAGAATTAAATTATACATGGAAATTCTTAGGTTTTCATGGTGGTTTGCTAAGACTTGTATTGTCACATGACCCTGTATATTTGCTAAGCAGGTTGCTATGTCTGTCTTCAAGATGGAGTTCACTTTAGAAGTTCTTGAAGACTACTGTTATATGTTGTCGTCATCGTCATTCATCATCACCACCACAACCATAATCATCATCCTTGCCCAACATTTGTATTGTGTAAGCAGAGTTTCTTCATGTGAAGCAATTCCATATGGTGAAAGGTTATCTTGGTAACAATGTTGCAATATTTCACATCAGTTTAAAGAAACATTTATGATTACGTTACTGCTACTATAATACTCACCTGTGTACAATTCTTAGCTTTTAATTCTATCTCCTCCGGATCAAAAGGTGACAGACTTTTCAGAAACCCATCCTCCTCAAAACCAGGCTTGTAAGGCATTTTTGCTTTTGGCCTCTGAAATAATTATTATAAGTAAGATTATATGAAGACAGACTCCTGAAAGTAATTTGACCCTCCCTGTTTCTACTTGTCCCATCCATGCACAATGCATGAAGCTGAACAAGGAACTGAATAATACAAAGTTATATTTTGTATCAACTGTAATACAAATAACTAATTACTAAATTTGTGCTGTGATCTACCAAAGAAATGTTTTTGTGATGTTCTTGATCTGATATCCTGACTAATATTTTCAGCATTTCCTTCAGTTCTGTCACACAAATGTTTGGATCATGACTGATTCTTACATTATTTAATAAAACCATTTCATCTGCAGAGGTATGCTATATTAATTCAGTTGATGACCATGAATGAAAATTACATAAATATTTGGAAGGAGGTAGCTATAGCCTTTTTGAAGGTACTGTCCCATCATTCACTTGGAGAGAGCAAGGTTATGCCACCAAAGACCTTAGTCAGAATACACAGTAGCTGGACTGACATTCAAAATGGGTACCTCCAGAATACAGGCATGGAGCATAACCACTACACCAGCCTGTTCAGTGAAAGTACTTTCTCACAAGACTTCTTCTTTTAGATTTAGGATTGATTGGCAGCAGCTTGAGCTGCTGATACTTGGGAAATCCTGAGGATCTTTAATGCGGTGCCGTTGACCCATCCGGGTTCATCTGCCTTTAGGAGTGATTTCTCACCCCAAGGGCATGAGAGTGCTCTGAACCTCCACCCGCTCATCCACCCTCCGAAGAGGCTGTTGGCACTTGGTAGAGGGGAACCACTTACACCGGTGGTCACTGTTCAGTGAAAGTACTTTCTCACAAGACTACCAACTTATTAATTCACAGTCCCTTCTGGTAAAGTTGCTTTGACAATGGTCTATTACGCCTGCACTGCAATTGCTATTACTCTTTGATGGTAATACATGCAGCACTGATACAAGGATATTTGACACTATACATTTATGTAAATATTAAGTGTGCAACCCCCCCCCCCCATGCATGCATGCACACACACACCAAATGGTTACACTTTTGACTTCACTACACACATATCAATCAGTTGTATACCAAGTATTGTTGATGGCATATTTTTGTTTATTTGTAGTGTTCTGTCTGCCGACAGGTCCATATGAACAGGATCCTTCCATCCTTTTCTCGGATTGGGACCTGTTCATATACGTTCTTGGCAGATGATCCAGAAGTGGTTTGCCATTGCCTTCTTCTGTGTGTGAATGGAGTAATTGTTGGGATGCCACGGAGAATCCGGGGAAGTCCCCGGAGGAAAACTCCGTGTTGCCTAGACCACGGCCTTGCCCAACACAAGTTATAAATTCGGGCACCGCCGGGAATCGAACCCGAGACCCCAGGATTACAAGGCCAGCCTTCTAACCGCTAGACCACCGTGGTAAGATGACATATTATCAATCTACAATTACTTTTTATTCATTCAGTCCCCCCCCTTAATTTAATAGATTACATCACTTAACTGACATTAGTACACATTCATTAACACAGCATAAAGATCTCACAGCCACAAAATGCATCATGTTAACCTATCACAAGAAAAACCAATCAAAAGAGAGAGATCAAACAATCTGCTCTGCAATTATGAGGCACCTCATTCAAACCATGCTCAGACTTGCTACCCTATTTGAGGTCGCTGTGGTTTATTTCAGTTCTTCATGAAACTCCATGAATAATTACTATCAACAGTTTCTTGGACTTATCTACCAATCAGAATTCTACAAACAGAACATTACATTTTGGGAGCTTGATCTGCTCCTGTCATCAGGTGAAAATTACCTTGTCAATTGGGTCTGTTAAGGCATGACTAATCCCAATCAATGGGCAACCAAAGTTAAATAGCATTAGACCACATAAGCCAATATAACCAGACTTTGGCCTTGAGAGACTAAAACTGCGACATCATGATAACCTGCATAACAAACAAGAGACACATAAAATAAGAGGAATGGGCTCTTATGGCGTGTATGACATGTAACTAGTCAATCTAGTTTTTAAATTGTCATTTTAGACTCTCAATCAGGATGTACCTGGTTCATATCTTGGATGGCTTGCCAGATATTCTTTTGTTTTGCACTTTTCCTCAGTCTCTTCAGGCAAATGATGAGACAGTACCTTCCTACAGGTTACTACACCTATTTCCAAATTCTTGTTTGTTCACCTTTCACTTTCCAAACTCAACTAATGCTTTACAATGTCTGTAGCAGAACAGCATCATTAAATAGTTAAAGAATCACTCACCATTTCTCTTCGGATGATTCCGTAACATTTAGAGTTAATACAATATTGCTAAATAAAATAAAAAAACATATAATCAGATCTACATTACCTTCAACAGGAACTGCACATTGACAGCAAAGCCCGCCATGTCCACAGGGAACTTTCGTCCTGCTACCCACCCATCATAAAATCCCACAAAGGTACCATTGACTACAACAGGTGAGCTCAGTCCAAATTTTGTACACAGCCCAACTGGCCACATGGATACTTGTTTTGTGGTGCGAATCTGGAAACAGTTACAGATGCTGTATGTAGTCAATATAGGACTTTAGTAATGGCTAGATACTTGGTTCTTTAACACTTTGTTCTAATTTAAATGGCACACTGCATGGCGTATAACCACACATCAAATACAGTAGAATGTACTAAAAATACAATGCCCTGTCCATACTGATATCTCATGTTTCAGGGTATTTAGAATAGACAGGGAAAGGAAATTAGGGTTTAAATGTTCTTACAACATTAGGATACAGTAAATTTAAATTTCATACCAAAGGGGTTACATTGCCATAAGGCAAAGACTTGAAAAAGACAAATGAGTCAGATGCAGCATATTGTTACTAATTTTAAAAGCTGAAAAGAATGGACAGTTTTGAAGCATGCTGAATAGGTCAAATTTATAAACATGGCCGTTGTGAAATTACATGGGTACGGCAAGCACATGTAAAAAAATTTCGTTATTTTTATCCTTTCGTCAGTTTGTATTAATTCTTTCTTAAATTTTCAGTAGCTAAGACAATACATCGTCAAACAAAAGTCATACAAATGGAAAACATAATCATGTATGAAAAACAATACGAATGCATTTTACAACTTTACAATACATGATTCTGTATGCCATAAGATATTTAACTATGTACTAAGTGTGTTGACATGTGGAAGAGGTTGAGAAACTCCAGACTTATCTCTGTACTTGAAAATCGTTTTCACACTTTTCTTCCATAATTTATATTTAATAATTTTCCTGTCACAATACTCTGCTAGACCTGCCACAACATGACCTAGTCAGTGTTTAGAGGCTTTGTTTCTGCTACATGTTATTTAGAATGAATATATAGTAAAGAAGTTACACTACCATAAAAACAATTCTTTCCACACTATTTTGCCTGTCATCTTACAGAGAACTCCGTTTGATTTAATCTTTATTAAATGAACTGTCAATTCTTGTACAGCCTGCAGCACCAAATCTGGCAGTAAGATAAAATTAAAAAAGTTAGAAATTTAAAGTCAGGGAAGGTTATCAAAGTGTATCACCAGGTGAGTATTCTTACAATGGTTGTAGGATCCCTGAAATTTGTTTTCAATTTCCACCAAACACATACTTATTCTATAATTAAGACTTTTTACTTAAAACTGTTACGGCAGGATCACCCAATATGGAATAGGAATGTGGACATCATAGCATCAGGGCTCACTAGTAGAAGTTAAGTCTGGTATTTCTGCAAAATGTGAAACCATAGTTTACCTCTTCAAATAATCGGATATCGTACGTGTTATCATCATCTGCAAAGTAGAACACCCCATCCGTTGCATTGTCTCGCAGCCATTCAAGTCCACGGTTTCTGTTAGATACTCCACGGGGTTTTGGTCCTTTTCTTTTCTTGAATAACTGCGGCATAGGAGCTGTAAAATAAAGTTGATATTTAAAAATGTATAACAGAAAGTTCAAAGTTTCAGATTGTTTTGGCTAACACTACATTAGTAGAAGCGTGTTATGAGCACTACATCTCATTATAGCATTCTAGATGATTGTTTCTGATTTCCTGATTGTGCCACTGATCCGGTAGTGGCAAAAGTGATGGAGTGGCTTTCAGTAAGCAGACGAACTAAGCAAAATTTCAACACAGATTTGATTTGAAAAAAATAAATGAGGGCAAGTTTAAATTTCGAATAGGTCAAGGACGAGAATCGGGATCTGCTCGCGGACTCACACGGCATCACAGACAGATGGAAAGATTACTTTAGTAAGTTACTAAGCCTAAAGTACATACAGCAGAACCCTTCATCCCGGGACCAAGCCATAATGAAGTAAAATTGCCATTGGGAAATTAAAACGGTATAAATCTCCAGGCATCGACTCAATTCTAGTGGAACTAATTCATGCAGGTGGCAGGACACTGCACTCAGAGATACAAAAGCTTATAGTCTCAATTTGGAACCAGAAGTACTACCACAACAGTAGAACGAATCAATTGTTGTCCCCATCAATAAAACGTGACAAAACTGAGTGCAGTAACTTCCAAGCTATCTCTCTTTTGTCAACTTCATACAGCATTTTATCGAATATTGTTCTGGCACAGTCCATTTATAAATTAAACTATAGGGGACGATCAATATGGATTCCTCTGTAATAGGTCAACTACTGATCAGATCTTTTGACTTCGACAAATATTAGAGAAAATATGCGAGTATAATGGGTCAGTACACCAACCATTTATGGACTTCGGGAAGGCATATGACTCAGAAGAGAGGTAGGCACTCTATGTCATTTTGAATCTGGAATACCAAAGAAACTTGGAAAATTAATTTGAGGGGGGGATCCATTTCAAGTGCACAATGGCCCAAAACAGGGGTATGCTTTATCCCCAATGCTTTTTAATTTTCCTCTAGAACATGTCATCAGGAAGGTCAATGGGAATCAGGAAGGGCTCGAATTGAATGGTCTGCACCTGGTACTTGTCTATGCTGTTGATATCAATTTGGTGGGGGGTGGTGTGGGTACCACAACCAAGAATGCAGAAACTCTCCTGTAGGCTAGCAAGTAAGTAGGCCTAGAAGAAAATGTAGACGAAACTAAATACACAGGTGTAATACGAGATAAACATCATCCACAACAGCAGAACATAATTATAAGTAACACATCATTTTAAAATGTTTCCAAATTTATGAATCTGGGAACAAAAATAAGAAATAGAAATGAGGTCCCTAATGAAATTAAGAGTAGAATGCATTCAGGAAATGCCTGTTTATATTCAATTCACAAAATGTAATCATCTCATTTGCTATCCAAAACACTACAGATCAGGTATATAAGGCAACAATTTTGCCTGTTATCTTGTATGGTTTTGAAACATGGTCTCTTATCTTGAAGGAAGAACGTAGATTTTAAAACAAGGTGTTCAGGAAGTTACAGTTTGTTTGAGTGAAATTTTGCTAGTTATCCACAAATTTCACGTGCAAGCACTGTTTACATACAGACATACCTACTAGATGGTCATGGGAAATGCTAGTTCGCTGCAGCAAGTCTGACACCAATTGTGTCTTATTCTCTGCATCCTCGATGACCAACCAGTGCAGATTTTGCACATGCATTAATGTTTGTGCCATGCGGGTCAACTCTGGAATCTGTTCTGGTCGACGGTATGTCGGTGTAATTATGTACAGGCGAGGTGTTGCATGTGACGTAAGTGGCACTTGCGATAAAGAAGTATATGCAGCAGTCTGTACCGACACTTCACCGAATGCTCCCACTGCCAACAACTCACGTCCCAGCTGCATTATTAGTTCATGTAACACCTTTTGGCCAATATTGACTGAAACACTGTCATCGAGTCTTAGGCGGTTCACAGCGGCATTCAGCAGCTCTTCTCTTACAGCTGTGGCAACACCAGGCTCTGCATAACTGAATCCATATCCAGTCCCACTGTTTGATCCACCCACTAGCCATGTGGAGATGATGTTGTACTGGACCACCACACACACAATTAGCAGCATTATAAGCCAAAGCATCTTTGGTGGTTTCATTGCTTCGGCCCAAGACCGGGCCTGAAAAAATAAAACATCAAACCAAAACATTATCCCCTTTGCAACACAATACTTTTAATATACTTGTAATTTCTTACTTGTAAGATTTATGGTTCTCACAGAGATGAGTAGGAAGATGGCTGTCTTCTGGAATATAGTACCATGCAGTACATGGTGGATTTTAATAACAAAATGCACGCAAAATATAATATACTGGCGAATTAGAAAGTAACGTAAGAATTAATTTTCTTGGTCTAAAAATCTACAGGGAAGAAAGGGCTAGTGAATTCCAGGGTTTTAGTAAACGGACGCAAACAAATGCAATAATACACAGTATGTCAATGAATCCAATAGAGCACAAGATGATAGCATTAAACTACTTGTATATGTTCAACAGAACAAGTAACATTCTAGACATCACAAATAAAAGGGGGAAAAAATAAAGGTAACCAAACAGCTAGATATTATGGTTAAAATGCAGACTAAATAATAAAAGTCACTATCAGGAAGAAAGAACCGGAGAAATAACAACAACAAAGATTTCTTACAAAAAACAGTGTCAACGGAGCGAATACCACACCAACGTTCCCTTAGAATCAGTGATTTCCCAAGAAATGTTAGCGCGGAAGTGTTTTACTATTTAGCAGTCTCCATATCGCAGTTACGTCCATACCTCGAAATATGTGAACGAATTTAATTGCCGTTTTCTTTTATTATTAATACGTAATATTACGAAGATGTGTCAGATAAAATCGAAAAAATATGGCGAAAAGCATGGGCTATGGAACGTAAAGTTGTCACCCTCTGAAGCAGAATGAATGAGAGAGGATAGTGAGACACGCTACATGCAGTGGAGGAAAACTGATACACTTCCGCTACGAATACTACGGCAACTTCTCCGACAGCTCTGTATTGCGGGTAGACTAAACAATGGCAGGTGCACACTTCAAAATAAACACACAAAAAAACATACGTAAGATCTGAGTACTAGACCACATCGGCGACAGCGTTTTGCACGTTTAAAGCTACGGATGTTTCGTACCTGACATCTGAGCATGCTGTATTTTATCCAACAAGAAGCACACGGCCTCGTGTGTTTTCTTAGACTTGCACTCTTCACTTCCGGTTGTAAAGACGTGGGAATCAGCCCTTCGTTTTGCTAAATCATGAAAACACTTGTAACAAGACTGAGTCTGCGCCTGTCATAGGCCTCGAATTCGTTCCATCTCACCATCTTTACCATCTTATCGGATGTACATTCTCCTGAAGTCAGATCTCGATAAAAATAAAGACAGACTAGTTATCAAGTTCGCCCACTAAGATCCGACTATTATCTCGTAACTGGCAGAATCAAAGTTCTGTTACTTAATCCTCAAGAACATTTATTTAACAGAGAGATATTTTAAATAAATGTTCGAATTTATTTCCAGGAAACGTAGGGTGGGTTATTTAATGAAAATCAAGTATTAGATCCCAGAACTAGACAAACATTTTACGAAAGAAGGAATCAAGAGTTAGCTGAAAACAAAGAGCTGCGAGATTTGACGGGATACCAACCGAGTTGTGGAAAATTTGCAATGTGAAGGGGCAAATTTAAATTTTAACGAATATATTTAATAAAATTAAGAACGAGAAACAAACTCTTTTGACAGAATAATTACCGTTATTTACCAAGTTTATAAAGAGAGGAGTTTAATGTTATTAAGATCAGTGAACCGAGTTCTGCATGTAGTCAAGTCAGGAATCAGGGCACCATGGGGTTATTAAATGCTGTATATTCTTGAACATTTTCGTTCGTATATTATTAAAAAAATACACGTTTCGGAAGCTGGCTCTGTTTCCGTCATCAGGTGAAATATAGCATAATAAGGCAAGCCCACTGGAAAAAAAGCAATCTCAGTTTCCGGACCCAACTGATTATATTGCATACTTTCATCTGGGCCAGCTTACGAAACGTTTTATTTAAATTAACACGAAGGAAAATGTCTAAAATTATGCATAAGTTTAACGTCACGCCTTCGTCAAAAATCTTCCGACAAATCCCAGAGGCCTTAATAAAATCAGGCCTGCGAAACAAATCAATTTCCAGTTACTGATCATTCAAACAGCAACAATAGTGACGTCACCTCATCACTGACTAATCAACACTTGATGACGAAATCCGATATTTGTCAATTGTACAAAAAAGAATATTTATATAATTTCGTAAACTCTAATCGTTTAGCTCCCCACCGAAACAATGCGTGAAATGTATGTACGAGGTGCGATCGGAAAGTTTAAAGACTGTGTCAATAGAGGGCGAACCGGATGTAGTACGAGCTTCTGACTTTAGGGGGTGCGGCCTACATTCATAGTGAATCAGTGTGCCAGCCGGCATCATCGAATTAGCATTTGTTTCTTAGTTACGGGCGTTTTGGTAGTGCATTACACCGACCATCCTGCGATTTCGGAATGGCGTGTGCATCAAATTTTGCCAAAGACTCGCCAAAACGGCTACGGAAACCTATGAAATGCTAAAGCAAGCATTTGGGGAGTCCGCAATGGGTCGTGCACAAACGTTTGTGTGGCATTCACGTTTTAAAAATGACCGAACCTCTGTCGATGATG